CAAACCTAGTTATGGTCCTGGAGCCCTTCCTGTGCCTTCTACAGCCTAGTGAGTCCCCCGAGCCACCGGAGGGGAAGAGCACTACCCTCAACACCGCCTTACACCTCGCTCAAGTTTCTTTACAACTCAGAACTCCGCACCACACCTGATACATCTCCCTTTCCAGAAACATCCTGCCTCTAGGGCTGGGGTTCATGTGCTGTCTGTGGCCTCCAGCCGGCAAAGAGGTGTGAAGGAGCCAGGGAGACCCTGAGCAGGAAGTCCGCCGAGAAGGGGTCCTCTGCCGCCCCCAACGTCCGCCCGCAGACCAGCCCCAGAGCCCCACCTTCACAGACTTGCACGTGCTGTTCCTCCCACCCGGAAGGCCCTTCCTCCCACTCTCCATCTGTCAAGCCGGCACTATCCCTCGCGGACAGAAAGCGCCTCCGCCGAGCCAGTCCCCCCGGCGCCCCCTCTGCCGCCCGCACGCCCTAAGCCATCTCCATCACAACACCGCTAATTGTGACCGCTAATTGTGAGGGGACTTTGTGCCCTCCCTCCCCCGCCGCCTACCCCCACGGCGACGGGGCCGCTCCCCAAGACCCCCGCACACGCCACGCCGGGGGGATGGGGAGCTCCGGGGCGGGGGGGTGGCAGGAGGAAACGGCAGACACGTCCCAGGACGGGGATGGAGGGACTCGGTCCGCGGAGGGGAAGTTGGACGAGAGGAGACTGGGGAGGGGCTGCGGCGGGGAGTCTAGGAACTAGGGGCGGGAGGGGGTTGTCCGGGAGGCAAGGGGAGCAGGCGGGGGCGGAGAATCCTCCCCCAGCGGGGGCCGCTCACCTGCGCTGGGGGGCGGCGGCTCCTCGCACTCGGGGCTCATCCGGGCGCCCCCCCCGCCCCGCCGCCAGCGGCTCGGGCCCCTGCTGTGGAGCCCGGTTTGAGGGGGCGGGGGGCGGCGGCGGGAACTCGCGCACGCGCCTTCGGGCCTCGGGGCGGGAGGGTCCTGGCGCGCCGAGCCGCGGGGTGGCTGCGAGCGGACCGACGCGGGGGTCCGGGGCCCGCCGGCAGCCAGGGGGCGCGGGGAGGTCAGCGCGGTCTCTAGGCCGGCGGAGGCCCTCGGCGGGGAAGTCACCCCGGCTGGCCCGGCCCAGCGCCGCGCGGGAAAGCAAAGGCCGGTCAGGGAAGACGTCTCCTTCCCCAGTCCCGGCAGGCCGCAGGGCCGAGCAGCGGCCGTCGGAAGCCGAAGCCCACTTCCTCGGCCGCCCCCTTCCTCGCACCCGCTGGGTTTTCGGACTCTGCAGTCTTCTTGGGGCCTCCGCCGCCCGGCTCCGTCCGCCACTATCCCACAATCCCCTAGCGCAGGGGCACGCAGGAAGCCCCGCCCACCCGCCGCCCGCCTGGTGCGCGGAGGCCGCGCGCCCAGGACCGGCAGTGCGCGTGCGCATGGGGGCCCGGCCGCTCCCCACCCGCCCAACCAGCCCACGGCCCCAGATACGCTTGCGCTGATTTGGTCCAACGATCTCTCCCCAAATAAACCCAGACAACCTAATGCGCAGGCGCCGTGTTCATCTACGACTCCGTTCCAATGTCCAGAGAGAATTCTGCTCCAGGATTTCTCTATCAGCTTGCTCCTGGAAATCTGTTCGCTACTCGGTCTCGTCAGATTATAATCCTGCTTCGGCTGGGGTCCAGCTCCTGGGGAATCCATAGCAGGTTTTCTCCCCAGCCGAAGTTGCGCGGTCCGCTCCCGCGCAGTTCTCGACCTTTTATGCTGCACGCGCTTACCCGGGCTTTGTCTTCCTGTTGCCTCAGTTTCCCCAGCTTTCATGCCTCCCCCCGCCCATGTTACAAGCCCACTGTAAGGATCAGACGACTGAGTGTGTGTACTGACAACTTTCATTTTTTTAACCTGCTCACACTTATTTCAGAGACATTTTACCGAATCGTATGCTTAAGTGCATTTTCCTGTTCTACTTGTTCTCTATTTCAAGGATGCCAGTTATGCATTTGTCCTTCACATCTCTTAATTTCTCTCTGGTTGAAATCTTTGTCATTTCCACCTGTATGTACTTATTATCACATGTCTCTTCTGGGACCTTGCCATTTCCAGGGTACGGGATGCACGGGATGTTTTTTGATCCTTGTTATCAGCCACCGACTGCCGTGTGACAGTCACCACCTCGGCAACACATGTCAGGTTCGCAGCCTGGAGCTGCCGTTGTAAAGGGTGGCAAGGCTCGTTCTTACCATGTCTCATATTCTGGCACCACAGGCTACCTAGAGCACCATCTCATACGGAAAGGCAGAAGCATCTGAGTCAAGCCTATCTGTTAGCACGTTGCACAGCCTAGGTTGCCTCTTACCTGCCACCATCCGTTGGTCAAAGCAAGTCACATGATCAATACCAAAGTCATGGGGCAGGAATTGACTCTCCACAGCCCACGGGTTGGGACAGTACTCTTCCGGAGGTGGAATGGGAGGGAGCAAATATTTTCCTGAGCGAGCCACCACAGCCCTCTCCTTAGTTTACCTATTTTACCTTTTCATCTTTGAGGTTTTGTTCTACTTTTTTTTAGATTTTATTATTTATTTATTCATGAGAGACACACAGAGAGGCAGAGATATAGGCAGAGGGAGTAGTCACAGAGAGCCCAATACAGGACTCGATCCTGGATCCCGGAATCACGCCCCCTTAGCTAAAGGCAGACTCTCAACCGCTGAGCCACCTAGGTATCCCGAGGTTTTGTCTTAAAATGGACTCAAGCTCTATTGTTACTCAGCTTGAAACAATGGTGAGGCATTTCCTTCTCTTCCTTGAGTCTTTTCCTCTGTCACGTTCTTTTGTCTTCTACTCAGCATTTTGCTTCTTTCCCAGTATGCTTGCACAGCTGCCATATTATTTTAACATAGAGCTCAGGAACTGAGGGACATGGAGTAGCCATATTCAACCACCAAGTGAAACCTGAGATATTGACATGGTAAGTCTGGATGCTGCAGGGGCTCTAAGGAATGAAACCTGTGTCTCCACCCTCTCAGAACTCACAGGTTGACCTTACTGTGTGGGACCGAGGAAATTTAACAAAAATCCCCTACCCCTGGACAAGGAGAGCAGGACTGACTCCATTTTGTGCTGCAACCGCCTTGTGCTGACCTGCTTATTGCTTAGGGCGCTGCCCCACCCTAGTCAACCCGCAGGGCACACCCTAATCCGAAATCGGCTCAGTGATAGGCCAGTTCAAATGGATACTTTAGGGTAAAATGTAATTCTATCCGCCACCTGCATGTGGACCGTGGCCCGACAGGACTGTGCAACTTTCTGCATATCCCATTGGCCACTGGTCCCTGTAAAGCTGCTATGCCTCTTAGTCTTGGGGTCCAAATCCCTGCTCTGCTGTGTTGGGTGTACTTGGACCCAAGCTCGAGCTTGTAAATAAACCCTCGTGTGTTTGCATCAGTGTCGGCTCCTCGGTGGTTTCTCGGATTCGCAATCTCGGGCACAACAACTGGTATGTGTATTAGAAATGGAAGGGGTGGGGTATGTAGGTAGCTCAGTCAGGTAAGTGTAGGACTCGGTTCTGGCTCAGGTCATGATCTTATGGGTCATGGGATTGACCCCAGCCAGCTTTGTGCTCAGTGGGAACTCTGCTTGAAATTCTCTCCCTCCCTCTCCCTCTGCCCCTGTCACTTGCACATGCATGTATGCACTTATGCGCTAATAAATCTTTAAAAATTGGAAGAGGGACACTTCGGTGGCTCAGTGGTTTAGTGCCTGCCTTAGGCCCAGGGTGTGATCCTGGACTCCCAGGTTTGAGTCCCACATCGGACTCCCTACAGGGAGCCTGCTTCTCCCTCTGCCCGTGTCTCTGCCTCTCTGTGTCTCATGAATAAATAAAATTAAAAAAAAATTGGAAGGGACTTCTTAAAGTGTCTGGTTGGAACACCCATTCCCCATTGTCCACATTTCCATGTAAAGGAACTTCAACCATTTAGTGTGTCTTCTTCTGGCTTCTCCACCCCTTCCAGGGGCTGAGGAACAATGTGCCAGGTTGGATGGGCATCATGGCTCACCCCAGCTCCCCCTCTCATAGCCAGCATGCCCAGGGTCTGGCCTGCTGCACCCAGAGGAAGGCCTGTGCGTATCCAGTGCTGCCTGTGACCAGAGAGGAAACCCTGTCTAATGCAAGACTAAAGCCATTTCTTCTGATCGCTAATGGTAATAAAGGTGATACTTTATCTTCAATTCTCAAATCCTGTACCTACCTCTTGATTTATGCTGAATTTGGGAAGAAGGGTGAAAATAACTGGTTCCTCCCAAATCCCTGGAGTACAAGTAAATTACACATGAGAGGAATTCATCCACATCAAATGCAGCTAGGAAACCAGAATACGGGAGGATGCACACAGCTTTGCCTGAAACATAGGTTTGTGAACTTTTGCCCACAGTTCAACCACCCTGGGCTGATTCCTCGTCTGAAGATCAGCAGGGGCTGCAAATGATGAAACCACCTTCAGCTAACTGACAAGGAATTCATGAAAGGAGCTGAGGCGTGTCTCACCACCCTAATCTCTGAGAAGGCTGGAGACGGTGTGGTGCTTTGCAGTTGGTCGAAAGGAGGCCCAAGCTCCTGGCACATACACACCCTCGGTGCACGGGCTCCCACCACCACTGCCCAGAAGCCTGCGCTGAGCTCTAATTGGCTGAGCTGAGGTCACATAATGCACCTCCGCATGGGATGCTGGGAGATAACGTGGCTTCCACCTCAAGGCGGGCTGCCTGTGTGCTAAATTTGAGGGTTCTTCAAACGGAGAAGCAGGGGTGGATGAGTGAACCGGAAGGAAGGAGGGCGGCCCCCCACCCTCCCTGTCAGGAGAGACTGCGCAGGTGAGCGACGGTGGCTCTGGATTTGAGAGCAGTGCGTTCATGTTCAAGTTTGGGCACCCCAGGCCCCCTAAGATGGCGCACCTTCCCAGGTGGGGCGCCCTCCAGGGGAGATGATGAAGGCCGCAGTGAAGGAGCTGGAGGAGAACACCTTTATTAGAGAACAGTGTGGACACGGAAGGGGGAACCGGGAACGCGGTGCGGAAGGGGAAAGTGCTAGCGTGAGGGGTGGAGCCCAGGGGCCGGCGCCTTCTTTAGCGAACCGGGCGGGCCGCCCTGGCTGCGCACCAACAAGGCTCTGCTCTCCCCCTGGGAGACAGGACGCCTGGGGTTCCCACAGAGAGGGGGTGCTGAGCCACCGGGGTTCACCGATCCATGCTGTCGTCCGTCGGGCTGGAGAAACAGGTCTGTAGCAGCTTTTCGCAGAACTCCAGCTCCTCCTGGATCAGGGGGGCAAGAGCAGGAGCCCTGAGTGCACGGCACCGAGATAGCCTCTCTGTCCTCCCCAGTGCTGGCCCCAGAAGCCTCCAGGGGTTCTCTGACTCAAGCCAAGATCCACGGCTCGCTGTTTCCTTTCTCATCTGTACCTGGATTACTGAACCAGAACAAGGGCCTCCCAGCGTCTCTGACACCCCACTGGTCTGTCCTCACCTCAGCCCCTTGGGCTCTTCATTTCCCCAGGTATGACGGACCCCTACTAATCCCCACTTAAAATTAGAACCTTCCACAGGTACAAATCCCGGAAACCAAGAAAGAAGCACTCCTAGGTTGGGCCACATGAACATAAAAGGTTTCTGCATGGCAAAAAGAAGCCAGAAACAAAAATAAAAGAAAAACAATTTGAAAAATATTTGCAACTTGTCAGGAAAGGCTAACATATTTAATACTTCAAGCACTTTAATATATTGATTGAAAAAAAAAAAAAACTCACCACCCAGTAGATACATGGGCAAAGGATATGAACAATTCACAGGAAAGGAAAGCTCTCCAACTTTCCTCCAGGGAGAAACGCAAATATAAACTGATTAGAATACTACTTTTCACCAATCAGCTTGGAAAAAAAGGTCAAATGGCTTGAGATACTTTTGAGCACCTTCACAGTTGGAGAGTCAACTGGTTCAGCCTTTACAGAGAGCAACCAGGCAACAGCTAGCAAAAATGGCCCTAAGCTGTATAACTTCATCCTTAACCTACCTTAATCCAGCTTTTCCCCTTTTGCAAACTATTCTATAGACATACTCACACATCTAAAGAAATCTATGTAAAGGTTTATTCTTTCGGCAGAGTTGGTAGCAGCAGAGAGGGGTCATGACACGAAAACAGCAACCTACCTTGCAGCCATGGCTGCCCACACACAACACACTCCTTCTGCATTCTTCCCTGAGATATTATAAAAGGGAACGAGGCAAGGAGCGACAAAGTGGTCAGGACAAGTAGATTTTACACGGAAGGAAGGTAGAAAGGAAGAATATATACACACATTTGCTTATGTGCACAGACTATCTTAGGAAGGCCACACACAGAAGTGGGGAAGGTACTGGGTGATTAGGGGCAGGGGCAGCAGGGAGACTTCTCACTTTTGACCCTCCTATGCATTTGGAATTTTGAACCACATGACCACAGGACCTTTTCATGAGAAGGCATTCATGAAATTTAACACTTCAATTTACCTACAAAAATACTTACAAAAGAGTTAGAAAAAAGAACTAAGTCACGATAGAATCACCTTATAGAATACCATCCCAATTGCATTGTTCAGTTATGCTAGAATTAAAGCAGACCTCTACTTAAGTATCTGGAAAGATTTCCAAGACACAGACACATAGGAAAGAAGGCCATATGAAGAGACTGGAGTGGCATATCACTAAGCCAGGGAATGCCAAGGATTGCCAGCAACTACTGGCAGCTGGAAGAGGAAGGATTCTTCCCTAGAACCTTCAGAGGGAGCATGGCCCTGCAGACACTTTGACTTCAGACTCCTAGTCCCAAGAACTGCAAGAGAATGCATTTCTGTGCTAAGCCACCTGGTCTATAGTAGTGTTACAGCCGCCATCAGTACCGAAAATATCACTGCCCAGCCTTCTCTGTTCCCTCACAGGTTGTTTCCTTCACTGTAGTTATAACTTCCTGCTGTCAAACTATACAAAACAATGCTAAATTACACAGATACAAATATTGCATGTACTATACATGCATATACACACACACATACACACACTAGGTATTTGTAAATACATGCTTCTGTTTATTTGTCTACATGTTTCTCTATCACCCCTGGAAGCCCTGAGAACCAAGACTGTATCTTTTTTGCTCCTCATCAAATCCCCCAGTGCCCATATCCAGGCCTGGCACGTGGGTAAGCTGCCCCTGACGAATGGAGGGATGGAAGGATGAGGTTTTCACAGGTGTATTCTTATGTCTAAACTTTTCACATGGCACACTTCCAAGAACTGGAATTTATTATATGATAGTTATACCCCAATAAAGTTGCTAAAGTTTTTTTTGGAAGAAAAAAAAGGAGTGCTGGTCACTTTGCAGGAGGTGTCCCTCAACAGTGGGCCCTGGCATCACCTGCCCAGGGTCTGGCATGCCAGTGGCGCAGAGAATGAATGTCCCAAGACAGCAACAATTGAGGTGCTCCCCAGCTGAAAGCCCAGGCTAGGCCAGGCTTAACCCGTGGGCACAACCCATGGGCATGTTTTCCACGTGTCCTTGTGATGAGGTTGGGGCAGACCTGGGGTTGAGCAGTGTGCCTCTCCTGGCCCTCCCTGCTCCTCAATCCTGCCATCTCTCTGGAAATGCTCAACAGGGTCACAGAGGAATGGACTCAGTAGAACAGAAGTCCTGGGAGGGTAGCACGTCTGCCATGCTCAGCTTTGCTAAAGCACCAACATCTGGGTGCTACTTAATCATCAGTTAGCTAAATCACTTCATTGTTTAGATAACTAAACAACTATATGAATATTCAATCAGTTGCTCTTTACCACTAATTTGTTACTAATTACCTAATTATCTGAATTATCACTTACTTGTTACTGATCTATTTAAATATCTAATGAGCTATTTATTACTTGTTATTTATTATCTAATTAAATATGAGTTATCTATTTGCTACTCATTATCTACTTAATTACTTACTTTTTATTTAATCAAATATTAAATTGGTTACCTTTTATTATTGATTTATCAGTCTAATAAAAATAATTATTAAGTATCTGATAGGATGTAAACACTTATAAAGTTTAGCTAATAAATAACTTCATTAACCCCTTAAAACACTCCAATTCATCATTCACCACTGGCCTGTGGTGTTCACACAGCATGAGGCACAGGGGAGGGGGCAGTAAATGTCTGCTGGATGGATGGCAGAAGAAACACAGGAACGAAGAGACAGGAAGACAAACGTATGGATGAATAGACCACAGAGGCCCCGTGGGCAGTACCTGATACTCCTCGTGCTGCTGCAGCAGCTGGCAGCGGTGGCGGAGGAGCTCCTCCAGGCCCAGCTCGGGCTCCCGGCACTCGCGCACGCCCTGGGGGAAGTCTGTCACCAGGCTGTAGGAACAAAAGAGCAATCCTCAAGGTGCGCCCTTGCACTGCTCCCACAGGAGCCCCGGGCAAGACAGTTCCCCACCTCAGTTTCCCCATCTGCAATACAAACTTCACGGGGTCCCCACCCACATCAGGGCCTACAGTGAGATGCGTACAAAACAAGGCACCTAGCACAGAGCCTGGCCTGGAGCCCACTCCACACACCAGAGCTGCCACCTGCTCAATTGTGTCTGTCATCTTTTCCAGACGCTAATCTGCTAGTTCTGGGTGCAGGGGGAGCGGGGTCAGAAAGACTCTCCCTCTTCTCCCAGGCTATTGTGTCAGCCCCCTACACACGAGGAAACTAATGCCCAGGGAGCGCCAGCACTCAGTCCTGCCCCCTTGGTGGGAAAGGCCTGAACTCCTGAATCCTAGAAGGGAGGAGGCTGGAGGGCTGGAGCCCAGTGATGTCAGCCTGAAAAATAGGAGCACCTGCCCCAGGCCTCGTCCTCTCAGAGGCCCCAGCATACCTGCACAGGGCTCCAAGCACATGCTCATGGAAGGGGCTGTGTTCTGTCCGGATCAGGGCCACCAGCTGCTGGACCATCCCCATGGAGCACAGAGTCCCTGGGGGAAGGGGCTTGGGGGTCAGAGGGGTGATCCACACCCCTCCCCAGGCACACCCCTCCCCCACCCTCCCTTGGGCATTGTCCTGGGCCCCCTGCCCTGGCTGCCCCACCTTTGTGTTCAGGGTGGCCCACCAGCAGGTTCTGCAACAGGAATGCGGACTTGACCTTGAGCTTTTGCACCTGCTGCTGCATGGCCCGCATCAACACAGAGAAGCCATCCAGGCGAAGGAACTGCAGCAGCCCCACCTCCTGCTCCCGGACCAGGCCTGACAGGAAGGGGGGGGGGGAGAGAGGCCTCAAGGTCACCACTGTCACCATGAGCCTCACCACTATCACTTTCAACTACTATGGGCCTGGGTTTCATAAGCACAATATTTTTTTAAAGCATTGTTTTACTGAGATATAATTAACAGAGACTATTAGAAGAAAATTTTGCCCTGTCCCTCCCCAATCCTGCTCTGGCTCTTGGTATGTCTGGGGAACTGAGGCTGTCTACCCTTTGTGGCCAAGCCTCCCAAGGTCTGTCTGTCCACCTATCTCCTCAGTTTCGGACATGATCTTCCTGATGCCACCTGCTCCAGGACTCTTTCTCTCACCTTTACTAGAGTTCCTTCCCAGCTTCCCTGTTCTTTTTCCCAGGACCAAACTGTGACATAAATATATATCTGGTCTTTGCCCCCATTCCTGACACTAAGCTCTTCAAACCCGCGGAGCTTCCTGGGTGATAAGAGCATCTTTTGTTCCAGTGAGGTGACTCCAGGTGGGCTCCTGGACAGGGTTTACTTCTCAGAAATACCAAGCCATGATTAGAAACTTGGAACCTCCAGCCCTACCTCCCAACCTCCAGAAAGGAGAGGGATGAGAGTGGAATTAATGATCCATTATGTGCACAGGAGGAAGCCTCCACAAGATTCCCTAAACGGTGGGGTTCACAAGACCTTCTGGGTTAGTGAACACGTCCTTGTACCAGAAGGATGGCACACCCCAACTCAGGGACAGATGTTCCTGTGCTCGGGACCCTTCTAGACCTCATCCTATACACTGCTTCATCTGGCTGTTCATATCTTTTTTTTTTTATTATTTTTTTATTTATTTATGATAGTCACACAGAGAGAGAGAGAGGCAGAGACACAGGCAGAGGGAGAAGCAGGCTCCACGCACCAGGAGCCCGACGTGGGATTCGATCCCGGGTCTCCAGGATCGCGCCCCGGGCCAAAGGCAGGTGCCAAACCGCTGCGCCACCCAGGGATCCCCATATCTTTTTTTTTTAAGATTTATTTAGGGGATCCCTGGGTGGCTCAGGGGTTTACCGCCGCCTTCAGCCCAGGGCGTGATCCTGGAGACCCAGGATCGAGTCCCACGTCAGGCTCCCTGCATGGAGCCTGCTTTTCCCTCTGCCTGTGTCTCTGCCTCTCTCTCTTCCTGTCTCTCATGAATAAATAAATAAAAATCTGTAAAAAAAATTTATTTATTCATGAGAGAGAGAGAGAGAGAGGCAGAGACATATGCTGAGGAAGAAGCAGGCTCCTCACAGGGAGCCCGATGCGGGGCTCAATCCCAAATCCCGGGATCACCACCTGAGCCAAAGGCAGGCATCTAACAGCTGAGCCACCCAGGTGTCCCTATTCATATCTTTTATAGTTAGCCACTAAACATAGATATTCCTCTGAGTTCTGTGAGCTATTCTAGCAAAGTATCAAACCTGAGAAGGGGATCATGGCAATGCCCAATATATAGCCAGTAGCTAATAAGTACAGGAAGCTCTAATTTCTTTTCTTTTCTTTTTTTTTTTTTTTTTAAGGAAACTCTAGCCCCAACATGGGGCTCAAACTCCCAACGCTGAGATCAAAAGTTGCATGCTCCATGACTGAGCCAGCCAGGAGCCCCCAGAAGGCCCAAACTTTCCACTGGTGTCTGCAGGAGGGACCGTCTCTTAGAACTGAGTCCTTAACCTGTGGAGGTGTGCCAACTCTGAGTAGTCAGTGTCAGAATGGAACTGCAGAATGCCCAGTTGGTGTCCAGAGAATTGGAAAACTGACTTATGTAAACTCCTGCACACACATTTGGTGTCACAAATGTCATGAGTGGAAGAAACAGGTTTTCCTCCAACTTGAAACAGATGACACAGGGCTGCCATAGGACCCAGCAATTCCAACCGCAGGTGTGTACACCCAGAAGACAGGAAAACACATGTCCATGCAAAAACTTGTCCACGTGGTTCACAGCAGCACAATTCTCACAGCCAGAGGTAGAAACCACTTATGCCCAACCAATCAACTGATGAATGGATAAACAAAATGTGGTCCCTTTATAAGTGACATATTAGCCATAGAAAGGCATGAGGCATTGGCACAGGTTATAAATGCAGATGAAGCCGGAAAACATTATGCTTAGTAAAAGAAGCCAGACACAGACAAAAGGCCACATGGTGGACACATCCAGAGCAGGCAAATCTGTGGAGATGATAAGCAGACTGGTGGCTGCCTGCAAGGGCTGGAGGGAGGGGGTGAGGCAGGACTTCTAACAGGAATGCAGCTTCTTTTGGGAGTGGGGGAAATGTTCTGGAGTTAAGACAGTGGTCATGGCCACCACACAACCTACTGAATATGCTAAACTGTACATGTTAAAAAGATAAACTCTATAGCCTGTGAATTCTATCTCCATAAAGCTTATTTAAAAAGGAAACAGTATCAAAAAAAAGAAAACGGTCCAGTGGGGGCCTCCAGCATAGCACACACACAGACAGGAGCCCAACCCACGGTTAAGAACATTCCCTGGGCTCAAACCCCACATCTGCATGTCCTTGCAGGGTGCCCCAGGTTGTCACCCGGTACCTCCTCTAGGTGGATTTGGTCTCCCTACCTCAGAGGCTGTGCATATGAACTAAACAAGTTAACACTCTCGCAGGGCCTGGCATAGAGTGCCCCACAGGCACTGGAATCATCCTCGTCCTGGCACCTATTGCCCAGGAGGCAGCCACTAGTATCTCCAACAGGTAGAGAGGCTGGGGTGCTGCTTAACACCCCATTACACACAAACTGGCCCCCTCCTTACCACGAGTGTCAACAGCACTGAGGCCAAGAACCCTAATGCACATGAAGCACATAAGCTGAGTGGTGCACCTATGTCATCAGAATCTGGCTCTCTGACAAGCGAGGGGTTGGCTGGCTCAGCACCCTGTCCCCAGTCTCCAGCACAGTCTTAACTGGCTATGGGAATAAATAAACAATTATGGCTCCCCTCCATCTGCCCCTGAGCAGATGCCAGCAGGGCCCCTGCCCCTCCCTGGCTGCCCCAGACACTCACAGGAGATGGCAAAGAGGGCCTTCACGCGCACCAAGTCACAGGGGTCCCGGTCAAGCAGCTTCAGCAACTTGCGCAGGGCACCCAGGCCCAGCACTTGCTCCTGGATGGCTGCCACATTCTGGCTGCACGTGCCGATGAGCTGTGCTGCTCGCCACCTCAGCCCTGCAGGCCCTGCCTCCAGGTAGCGGCCCACCAGCAGGTGCATGCCTGACAGCTGGCAGAAGTCTGTGCAGAGAGAGGAGAGATGAGAGTCCAGGTGGAATGGGCTGACTTATGCACCACCCCCCACCCAAAATCCACATGTTGAAGCCCCAACCCCCAAGTGTCTCAGAATGTGACTATATTTGAAGATAGTCCTTGTAAGAGATCATCCAGGTAAAGTGAGGTCATCGGGATAGGTCCTAATCCTCACAGTAAGACTGATGTCCTCATAAGAAAAGATCAGGACACAGACACACAGGGAAAACCGTGTGAAGACACAGGGAGAGGGCAGCCATCTGCAGGCCAAGGAGAGAGCGCGGGAGAAACCAGCCCTGCCCACACCTGGGTCTCAGAACCCTGAGAAAATACATTGTGTTTCAAGCCCCGAGGTGGTCAGCCCTCACAAGTGAACACAGCAAGTGAGGCCAGATGGGTGGGCTGGCTCCCAGAGCCTGCCTCAAGTGCAGGATCCGTCAAGCACCCAACCAGAGGTTCCTCCAGTGCCAGCATGCCTCAAAAACACCAGCATTCAGGGGGTTAGGGTTCCAGAATCCAGCACACTACATCCCAGTACCAACCCCCAATATTTGTGACAATCAGAACACCCCTATGGGAGAACAGTACACTAGACCAGGGCTTGGCAAACTACAACCCACCCCTTGTTTCTGTCAATAAGGTGGTAACCAGCGAACTTGGCAGTTCCTCGAAAAGTTAAACACAGAGTTATCATGGGTCCACTCCTACATAAATATCTCAAACCACAGAAAGCAGAGACTCCAATAGACACTTGTACCGACATTCAAAGCAGCATTATTCTCAATAACCAAAGGGGGAAAGGACCCAAATGCCCATCAGTTGCAAACAGATAAAAAAAACATGAGGGAAAAAAAAAAAAAACATGAGGTCAGGGCAGCCCCGGTGGCTCAGCGGTTTAAGCGCCACCTTCAGTCCAGGGCGTGATCCTGGAGACCCAGGATCATGTCCCACATCAGGCTCCCTGCATGGAGCCTGCTTCTCCCTCTGCCTGTGTCTCTGCCTCTCTCTCTCTCTCTCTCTCTCTCTCTCTCTCTGTCTCTGATGAATAAATAAATAAAAATCTTAAAAAAAAAAAAACATGAGGTCAATCCACACGATGGAGGACTAGCCATTCAGAAGAATAAAGCTACAATACAGGCTACAATGTGAGAGAACCTTGAAGATGTCACACTCAGGGAAGCCAGTCACAAGAGATCACGTACTCCATGATTCCATTTATGTGAAACATCCAGAAAAGACACGTCCACACCCTCCACAGCTACATCATGCCCCTCCAAAAGAAATGGAGGATGCTAAAAAAAAAAAAGAAAAAGAAATGGGGGATGCTGACCTCCTATCAGCTCCTCGGCATTTAGGACAAAACCCACAGCACCTACTTCAGCCTGCAAGGCCTTGCACACCCAGCAGCACCTCCTACCTCTCGCCCCTCCCTCACTGCATTCTGTCATGCTGGCCTTACTGCTGTTCCTGCACATACAAGGCATGTATGTGTACTCAGGGCCTTTGTATTGGCCTATTCCCTCTGCCTGTTATGTTTTTCTCATGGCTGTTCCCATAACCTGCTCATTCACTCCAGGTCTCTAATCAAATGGCACCCCTTGGGGAGGCCTTCCCTGACCATGCTGCCCAGAACCACCTCCTCATTCATATTCTAGGCAGTGACAGTGCAGTCCCAAGAGACAAGGGAGAAATGACCAGTTTTGGAAAATGTCACGAAGGTAGACCTGATACCAGCCAGGCTGGGGGGTAAGTGAAAGTTCCTTCCTGGTGGCAAGGGGACCAACCAGGAAGAGATAGGACAGTCCCATCTGGGGCCTGAGTTGGAGCCAGACAGGAGAGGGAGAGGCTGGAGGCTGGAAGGGTGGGGAAGAGTCCGATGGTGTGGTCCCCAAGAGAAAAGACAAGGGCTGAGCCACAGCAGGACATGGGGCTGAGAAGGAGGAAAGAGCCAGAGGCTGCTGAGGGGCAGCCGTGGGTGGGCCCAGGTATACCTGCAGCATTGTCCATGTTTTCACACAGGTCGGCCAGCAGCTCCAGGGCCCCCTCGCGTTCCTGCTGGTCAGTGGCCAGTTCAGCCTCAACGGCCAAGGAGGGTATAGGCTGGGACAGCACTCGAAGACAGTTCTTCATCTGCTCGACTTCCTCCCGCTGGCCCCGGAAGGCTGCTGACACAGCCTCCTGCAGCCACTGATGCCTCTATCAGGGCAGGAGAGTGGGGGAAAGAACCAAACCTCCATCAGTGATGAAATCATAAATAACAGTTGTTACTAATAACAGCCAACATCTGAGAGCTGACCTATCATTCCTTCAACAGCTACCCACTGGGTATCTCTTCCACTGAATATTTTCTAGATACCAGACTTATAGAGAGACTGGGGCTATGGGGTGTGAAAGAAGGCACTCTCAGATTTCTGTCCTGAGCAACCAGAAGGAGATGAGGACAATGATAGGAGAAGCAGGTATGGAGCAGGAGTAGTAAAGATGAGATCTCATTTTCTACCATGTTAAGTTCAAGGGCTCTATTATGCGCACAAGGTAAAATAGTGAGTAGGCTGCCTGAAGCTCAGGGAGGGGGCCCAGCCTAGACTTGGCTTTCTCAACCCTGGCTCTACTGACCCTCGGAGCTGGAGAGTTAGGGGGTAGTGGGGGGAAGGGCAGTCCCATTGTCCTGCATGTTACAGAATGTTGAGAAGCATCCCTGGTCTCTACTCACTAGATGCCAGTAGCCCCACCCCACCCCAAGTGGAACAATGAAACATGTTTCCATGCATTGCCAAATGTCCTGAGGGGGATGAAATCAGAACCAGTGGTCTAGAGATGTAAACTGGAGAGTCATCAGGGTAAATAAAGTCTCAACACATGAGATCACCAAGGAAGTGAGCAGAGGTAGGTACGAGGAGAGCCCTGGGGTGTGCCATCATTCAGAGGCTGGGGAATGAGGAAGAGTCAACTGAGGAAAACAGGAAGGGAGAGCCAGTGAGTAAGGATGAAAACCAGGACAGTGCTCTAGAAACCAAATGAAGAAAGAAGGATGCCTGGGGGGCTCTGCATTTGAGTGTCTGCCTTCAGCTCAAGTCATGATCCCAGGATCCTGGGATCGAGTTCTGCATCAGGCTCCCTGTTAGGAGCCTGCTTCGCCCTTTGCCGATGTCTGCTTCTCTGGGAATAAATAAATTTTTAAAATCTTAAAAAAAAAGAAAGAAAACAAATGAAGAAAGAGATCCATTGAAAGAAAGAAAGAAAGAAAGAAAGAAAGAAAGAAAGAAAGAAAGAAGAGAGAGAGAGAGAGAAGAAAGAAAGAAAGAAAGAAAGAAAGAAAGAAAGAAAGACCAAATGAAGAAAGAGATCCATTGTCCAGGTGGCCAGTAAATCAAATGCTGCCTATTAGGTCAAGTAAGATGACAGTTCAGAGCTGCCCACTAAATTTTATTTTCCCATCGGGCCTGTTAGTGCTCATATGTGGGCTCTATAGTCACAGTCCTAAACAAATTTGGGCAAGACATTCATCTTTCTGTACCTGTTCCCATTTCATTAACCTAAAAGTTCGATGACATCATGGATGTCACTGGATTAGCACAGCATTTTGTACACTGGAAACACCATCGCCAGCTAAACACATATAACAGATGTTGCTACTCATCTCCAAGACAACCTTCCAAGTGTTACTGTCAACCCCACTTCACAGATGAGAAAACTGAGGCCCAGAAAGGTTGTGACACACAAAGGTCACACCGTTGGCCATCCACAAAGCCTTAAGTCACACCTAAATGGTCTGTCCACAGAGCCTGCCCTCTTCATGAGAACAGCCTGATGCTTGCAGGAGCCCGGCCTCTGTGACGGTGTGCCCTGAGTCCCGTGTATCTTCAAAATATCTGGTGAAGGGCAGCCCTGGTGGCTCAGCGGTTTAGTGCCGCCTTCAGTCCAGGGTGTGATCCTGGACACCGGGGATCGAGTCCCACGTCAGGCTCTGTGCATGGAGCCTGCTTCTCCTTCTGCCTGTGTCTCTGCCTCTGTCTCTCATGAATAAATAAATAAAATCTTAAAAAAAAAAATCTGGTGAAGTACATGTTACTAGTCTTATTGTCATCATCAGTTTGCAAATAAAGACCTTGCCATTCAGAAAGATGAAACAATATACCCAAGGTCACAAAGCTGGATATTGCTGGAACCAGGATGGCAGGGGTCTGAGAATCCTCCCTCCTTCTTTACTTGTGAAGCTACTCTGCATCCCAGAAGCTACTCTGCATTCCAGTGCCGTATCTGCCCTCCCAGACACTCGTAGACCCGACCTTCAATCTACAATGACCAGCTAGGACAAATACAGCCTACTACTCTGCCTTCACACCTAGGCGCTGCCTCTGCCCAGGGCACTCTCCCCCCAATTCGTCGGGTCCCTCCATCTTTACCTCCTCACTCATGGGTTCTGGAGGGGGGTCTGGTTCCTCAGAACCCGCCGTGATAGCCATCTGCAGCAGGCCTTGAAGGTTTCGAGGGGGCAGAGGATGGCCCGAGTTCCCCGCAGAGGAGCCGCCGCCCCCGGATGAGCAGCCCTGGGAGGCTGGGGGCAGCGCCAGAGGGAGGCGGCTGCCCCCTGAGCCCTGGTCCGCCATGGGCCGTTTCTGAAGGGAAGACTGTGTTTGGGGTAGGAGGTGGTCAGCGCTGAGGTAGTTCTGGCGTCGGGATGGGTCGACTCCTGGGGGACTGCTGAGAAGGTGACGTTTTAGGAGAGCTCCGCGCCCGCCCCATGACCCCAAACCACTGTGCCCGCACCCACCTTAACCACAGCCCCGCCTTCCTTCCTTCATACCAACAGGACCCTTCCCCAAAGTCTCAGTCCCTCCTTCCTCCCTCGCAACAAGCCCCACCCACTCCACCTACCAATCCCCTCCCCCATCTCCACTAAATGCGTTCCTGTCTCTTAGCAACCCCACTGCCCTGCCTCCATAGCAACAAGCCCTCCCTTTGGACGTCTTAGCAACAAGTCTCGTCCTTCCTATCCAAAGAGGGGAGTCAGAGAGAGGTGAACCTCACTTCCCCGGGCCTCACCTCCCCCGGGCCTCAAGTCGCCGCCGCTACTAAAGATAGAGTCGCTGCCACCTGACTCTGGTGGGCGCCGCCATTTTGACCGGAAATGCGCCGGTCTCGCCCGGAAGTTTCCGGCGCCCCCTCCCAACCTCCCAACCTGGGGCCGTATCTGAGGCTGAGACCTCGTGCCAGTCTCTTAAGCCCTTCCCACCTGCCCGGATACTGCGCTCGGCCCCGCCCCGTCCATGCTCAGCCTAAGCTCCGCCCCCGAGCCGGATCCCGCCCCCCAGCGAGCTCCGCCCCCTCGACTTCCCTTCAAGCTCCACCCTCGCCCCGCCCCCAGTCAGCTCCGCCTCGGCCAGACCCCGCCCACACCTAAGTTCCCGCCCCTCCCTGCTACCTCATGCTCCGCCCCTATTCTAGGCCTTTCGGCCTCTCCCAGCTTAGCCCCGCCCCTGACCTAAGCCCCGCCCCGTGCTGGTGCCTGGTAGGCCCCACCCCTCCTTGCGGGTAGTGCAGGCCCCTCACCTAGACCCCTACCCACCTTTTCCTGGAGCCCTGGCTTGTCACCTATAACATCTGATCTAAGCACCCTTGGCCCACCTCACCCCTCTCTTGGCTTCAGTTTCCCCAGTCGTCAAAGGGGGCTACCTGGTCCTTGCTGCAGCTCCTGTGCAGACACCTGTTACCACCCAGGCTCTCGCTCTTGGAATCCTCCCTGAGACCTGCCAGATGCATGGGAGGGGATTCTTGAAAGACGAACCTGAAGCAAAATGCCCAAACAAGGTGCTCTGGGAGGCGAGCCCACTGTGTTCTCCGCTTTTGGGGTTCAGCTCTGGGAATACGCCTGGCCTGAGAGGTGTTTGCCTTGAGCTGGGCTTAGAGAAATCCCGGTCCCAGTCTCCCATTAGAGGTCCCGCCCCGTCAGGAGAAGGCTGTACTCACCCTCCGGAGCTGGTGTTCACTGCCAGGCCTGGTGTGTTCCAGGTTATATTTGGGGCAGAAATAGGAAGACAACATAAAAGCCACACGCACAGTGGGCAGTGTTTGTAGCACTGAACAGAATAGCTCTCATCTGGGCTCCCACCCCCAACCCCTGTACCCTATTGTATTAGTTTTCTGTTGCTGCCTTTAAATTATAAAAAATGGGGATCCCTGGGTGGCGCAGCGGTTTGGCGCCTGCCTTTGGCCCAGGGGGTGATCCTGGAGACCTGGGATCGAATCCCACGTCGGGCTCCCAGTGCATGGAGCCTGCTTTTCCCTCTGCCTATGTCTCTGCCTCTCTCTCTCTCTCTCTGTGTGTCTGTGTCGGTCATGAATAAATAAAATCTTTAAAAAAATTTTAGTGGCTTGAAACAACAGATTTATTATCCTATAGTTCTGCTGGTTAGAAGTCCAAAGTGGTTCTTACTGGGTTTGAACCAGGGTGTCAGCAGGGCTGTGTTCCTTCTGGAAGCTCTAGAAGAGAATCTGCTTCCTGCCTCTTCTGGCGTCTGGAGGACACCCACACGCCTGGGGTTGTGACTGCATTGCTTTGGCTTCTGCTTCCACCATCATCCCATCTCTTTCTCTGACTCTGCTGCCTGCCCCTCAGAAGGACCCTTGTGATTACATTTAGGGTGCACCCCAATAACCAGGATCATCTTCCCATCTCAATATCTTCAACTCAATCACATCTGCAAAGTCCCTTTGGCTCTATAAGGTGATACATGCACAGGTTCTGGGAATTAGAATGTGGGCATCTCTGGGGACTGTTATTTACCCTCCCAAACTTATATACACCTAGATACAAGTCAGTTTATATTATTTACAACATGTAAATATTGCCTTTACCTCTGCCACTCCGCCTGCTTGTGCTCTCTCTCTCAAATAAATAAATGAAATCTTTTTTTTTTTTTAGATTTTATTTATTTGAGAAAGAGATACCGAGAGCAGAAGCGAGAAGGAGAGGGAGAAGCATGCTCCCCGTGGAGCAGGGAGCCAAATGTGGGGCTCAATCTCAGGACCCCAGGATCATGACCTGAACCCAAGGCAGATACTTAACCAACTGACACACCCATGGGCCCCTAAATTTAAAAAAATAATAACTAAAAAAAAAAAAACAATTACAGAATACCAGGCATATGGTTACCCTGCTTCTTTTTAAAATATATATATATTTTATTTATTTATGAGAGAGAGAGAGAGAGGCAGAGGGGATCCCTGGGTGGCTCAGCTGTTTAGCGTCTGCCTTTGGCCCAGGGCGCGATCCTGGAGTCCCGGGATCGAATCCCACATCGGGCTCCCAGCATGGAGCCTGCTTCTCCCTCCGCCTGTGTCCCTGCCTCTCTCTCTCTCTCTCTCTCTATCATAAATAAATAAATCTTTAAAAAAAAAAAAGGAGAGAGAGAGAGAGAGAGAGGCAGAGACACAGGCGGAGGGAGAAGCAGGCTCCATGCACGGAGCCTGACATGGGACTTGACCCCGGGTCCCCAGGATCACACCCTGGGCTGAATGCGGCACTAAACCGCTGAGCCACTGGGGCTGCCCGGTTACCCTGCTTCTAAGGTCCTATATGATCTGTCTCTTCACCTCATTTTCTCTCTCTCTCCCCCTCACTTGCTCCCCTCTGGCCACACAGGGCCTTCAATGTTCCCACAACACACCAGGAACACTCCCACCACAGGGCCTTTGCATTTGCTATCCCCTACATGGAAGGTACTTTGTCCACACAGCTCGGACCCTCATTTTCCTTCAACATCCCCACACTGGAGGACTCTTTCTTGGCACTATATCAAAAATCATACTCCACCCAATGAACACTTCCTGTCCCCCTCCCTGCTTTAATCTGCTCTTTAGCACTGGTCTCCACTGTCAAACACACCAAATATTTTGCTCATCTTGCTTATCACTCGCCTCACCCACTGCAGTGGGAGCTCCACAGGGCAGGGATCTTGATTGATTGGGATAGTTGCCGTCCCCTCAGCATATGGATAGTGCCAGCTCAGATTTACCACTCAATAAAGGTTCATGGAATGAAGGTGGTTGACTAAGAGAATAGAAGCTCTTGGATCCACGTTCTAGAGGACTTAGGGATTAAAGGGGTGCCTAACACCTTTGGGTACTTGATATGGGGGAGTCCTGGATTATGTGGATATCTATGTGATGTGCCATGGTGGGGGGTGTATAATTATATGAAGGCCCATATAAAGATTGAGGAGACCCTCTTGTGGGCACAGAGAATATTCAGGGGTCTAAACACACAGGGACCTAAGGGGGTTCTGGAAGGTTCTCAACGGGAGCATTGAGAATCCTAAATGCAGTGGATGGGTCCCCTAGTGCTGGTGGGGAAAGGAGGCCTGGGGGTGGGGGGCAGGCTTGGAGACCTGGAAAAGCAGGGATGAGTCTTAGTTGGGCAACTCCCAAATTCTTTCCCTCTTAGTCTGCCCCTGCAGTGTGTCCCTGTGTTCCCCAGCATGTGCCCTGCACCTGTGCACCTGTGGACCAGTGCCAACACCACTGTGGGTTTAAGGTTCTCTTTGCCATCGCTCTCCCTTTCCACCTGTCCATTCCTCTTCCTGACCCCCATCCCTTTCCACCTCTCTCCCACTCTTCTTTCTGACTCTCCATCCTTCTGTCTTTCTTCCACATTGTTCCCGCCTTGTCCCTGTCTCTCTGTCTCCCCGCCCGGTTCTCTCGGTATCGCTGTCTCTCCCGGTCCCCATCACATCTCTTCCATCTCCCTGTTTCTGTCTCTCCTGCTCTTCGTCCCTGCCTGCTCTTCCGTCTCGGCCCACCGCTGCACGGTCCCTTGCCTGCGCCAGCGCTGTCGCCCGAGTGTCCCCGTCTCTATTTCAGACTCCCTCTCCCTTTGTGCGGCTCCATCCCTGCCCTGGTCTCTTGGCTCCGCATCTCGGTCCCTTGCCTCTCCTCCATCCTCTCTCCTCCTGCATCCCTCCATCCTCCCTGCACCCTCCCACCTCTTCTCCATCCCTCCGGCGCCCAGGCCCGCCCCCTGCCCCGGCTCCCCCTCCCCCCTCCGAAAGGGTTAACTTTGGGGAAGGGCCCGGAGTCCCCGGATGGTGATGTCAGCGTGCCGGAGAGAAAGGACGAGGTGGCGGGGGGAGGAGGAGAGGAGGAGGAGGCGGAGGAGAGAGGGCGCGTGGGGGGGTGGGGGGGACCTCGGCCTGCAGCATCCGCCGGCCCGCAGCTCAGACCCCCCCGGCGGGGGGAGGCGCAGGAAGGGGGGGGCCGGCCAGGGACGGGCTGGGGAGGGGGGGCCGCGCAGCCCCCCCGGGCCATGCTGACTCCCGGGGCCTGACCCCCCCTCCCCCGGGCCAGCCCCCCCTCCCCCAGCTCCGCGGCCCGCCGACGGGGGGGGCGCCCAGCCCAGCCCCCTGGGGACCCCCGGAGAGGTGGGGAGCAGCCGGGGGGGCCGGGACGGAGCTGTCGCCGGCCCCCACCGGAGGGACGGGGCGACCTGCCGCAGGGGGGGCGGCCGGGGGGCCGGTCGGGCCGGGACCAAGGGCACCATGTCGTCCGGGGCCAAGGAGGGGGGCGGGGGTTCCCCCGCCTACCACCTCCCGCACCCACACCCACACCCACCCCAGCATGCCCAATATGTGGGCCCCTATCGCCTGGAGAAGACGCTGGGAAAAGGACAGACAGGTGAGCCCGGGGAGGGGACACCTGGGGCGGGGGCTGGAGAGCTGGGGGCAGAGGGCGGGACTCATGGGTATTCAAAGGGCAGGGGCCGAATGCCCAGACCCAGGGGTCCCTCACAGAGAGGGGACTTGCGGTCCAGTGCGCTGGGTCCCGAGGTTGGAGGGGGCTGGGGGCTTGGACTCCTGGAGGGAGGTGCTGAGGCCCAAAGGCTCCCACCTCATGGGGGGCAGAAGTTGGAAGGGCTCCAGGGCCGCGGTGGGGAAGGGAGGCCGGCCTGCAGCAAGGGATCATCAGCCTGCACCGGGAGCTGAGGTGCTTGCTGCAGTACGCCGCGGGATGGGGGTGCACCCCGGGACAGCCGCTTCCCTCTGCACTGCTCTCTGGCTGAGGAGGGCCTCAGGCTCTCCTGGCAGGCTGTCTGGGTGACCAGCAGTGAGGCTCAGGTGATGGGGTCTGCAGCATTCTCCCCTCTCCAGCATGCTGGCTCAGTGTGGGGAACAGAAAT